TTTTTTTCAACCTGGGCATCTTTGAGCTTTGGGAATTAAACCTCCAAAAATTCCCCAGCCAGCATGGCTAGCTGGGGAATTCTGGGAGCTGAAGTCCACACATCTTAAAATTCCCAAGGTTGAGAAACACGGTTCTGTACCAAACTTCAGAGCCTAACGATAGCTGAATTTTATTTTATTTTATTTATTTTTAAGTTTATATCCCTTTTTCTGCTCAAAGAAGTGCTTGCATCAGCTTATATGAATAAAGAAATACTTTCTCTCTAGCTCAGATCTCCACAATTTAGATTCATTGGACAACCTTGGATTCTAAGATTCTTATAGGAGAGGGAGAAAGAGTTCTCCCCTTCTACTCTGCCCATTCCATGTAGAACTTTATACATCTCTGTCCTGTCACTCCATTACTCACTTTTTTCCTTAGCTAAAACTCTGATAAAACCAAAATCCAGTTGTGCCTTTGTTCATTTGAATATCTCAGTCAGAAAAGATGACGATTTCTGGATTGTGTATAGATAAAAGTTTAGCTATGGAGAAAAGAGGTCTTTTTTTTTTTTGGTAACTTTTAAAGAGAGTGAAAAGTTACTATATTAGCTTATGCTCAGGGTGATGAAGGTTGGAAGCTGTGTCTTTATTATCCTCTTTGTTGCCTTTTTCTTTTTCTTTTCTCTTCTATGTTTTTTCTTTTTCTTTTTTTCTTTTTATTGTCCTTTCCGAATTTCTCTTTTATTTTTCTTTGGTCTTCCAGTTTAGTTTGTATTCGTTTGTAAAAATCCATGTTTAATAAAAACTTCAATTATTTTTAAAAAAAGAATATCTCCATCAGCTGATTCTCTCTTACCTGGACCCACTTTAAGAGCCTAAATATTTAATGTTTAAATACATTGCAAATTATATTAGATCCAAGTTTTGCAGGTTAGCTGGGGCTAAGTCCCATTAGAGGAAAAAAATGAATGGGACCCACCCAGATGAGACAAATATGTTGGATATACTTCATTCCCACATGTCCTTATTTGCTTATGAAGCAATGTATTCTTAATAGAAAATAAATAGCATTTCAGTTTGGACTAGATCTTTGCACAGCAAGGTAAGTGGAGAAAAAGATGGCTTTCACTTTCTTTCTCAGTATGCTTCTTGGTATTAAAAAAAAATAGACCACTCTATATTCTATAGTGGGTTCATGGAACATGTTAGGCTCTTAGCCACTGTTTCTTGAATAGGTAACTACAGTTGGATTAACAAATAATGCTAAGCTTTAAATCATGGTTTACAATAGCAAGGACCAAACCAGCCATGTGTAAATACAGTGAACATGAGGATCGCATTCTTAATCATGATTAACTAACTTAGCCATACCAATTTTGTCAGCACCAAGTCAGATACACCTAGACTTTCACTAAAACATATTGCACGATAGAGCCAACATCAGCAAAAAGTCTTTGTTTTGTGATGTGACTGCCTCCTTTCCTTATTCCTCACTCTTCTGTACAGATCCCCGGGTGTATTTGCTGGTTGTGAAAGGTGGTTGTAGCCCAATGTCATTAGATACAATCTATTTGCTTTTTTCGTTCATTCATTTATTTGATTCATCTTGTTAAAATCTTCAACATTGCCATCTAGCCAGTGGGAGAGCATTAACTACAAGATATCAATATCCATTTTTAATCTCTTTTTCTTCTTCCAAACTGCTGAGCCTAGCAATCGAATCCTTTGATCCTATCTATATTTACTCGAGCATGTGTTGGCAAAGATTTCTGAGCAACATCAGATAAGGGTCGCATTTGCAAATCTTTAATAGATTCCACCCACCGCCATCAGAATAGGACATAAATGTTATTAATTTGCACGCTTACATAGTTGATTCTTATAAATGCAGCCTGTAACAAATCTTTGGAAGTCTTTATATACTGAATCCCTAATACACCTTATCACCCCAAATTAGACATTATTTACTGTACACATAATGATGTCATTCAAAATAGTTTGTTTTACGTATTTGGAAACAACTGAACTCCATTTGATAGTTGATTTCTAATGGATCTGTTTTGTTCATAGCTTACAAGAATTTTCCCTTTTGTCAACGTGAAGTTCTGCTTATTGTGTGTATGAAAATAAAATGCGCTTTGTGATTATCCTCAGGTTGCCAATCGTGTGGTCAATATCCTCTCCTGGCTAACGGTTGCTGGTATTTGGTGCATCAGAGCAATATGGATAGTCTTCAGTTTATCTTCATCTCAATGTGATGATAGAATTCCATGCAGAGTATTCCAGCATAATCCAACTTCCTTTACACATTCACTCCCTTCACACAAGCCAGGGAAAGCCCCAGTAATTGCATTTTCCCAGCCTGCTAAGCATGGTTAGCTTTAGCCTTACTTAATTTGGGGAAAGGGGCTTAATGAGCTGTGAGGGTCCATTCTGTTGGGTTGCCTTACAATTCAGCATCCTGAAAATGGATGAACGCTGTAACTGTTAGATGTCTTCTATGAACAGAGCCATAAACACTTGAGTTGGTCATTCTGGTTTCTGGCAAGGGCTGGGAGGAGATTAATAATCTCTTCATTCTGGGACTGTGTTTTCAATCACCCTATCTCCCATTAAAGCATGTTCCAGGGACGTTAGAGATTATCTATCCACCAGCTCCTTGTCCAGCCTTAACAAGCATTGCTTTGGGGTGGCTGCAGTGAGAAGAACAGAACACACTGAAGAATTTTAATAGACACAAATCACAGAGTTGGAGGTTCCTGGTGGCTCCTGTTTGCAGAACATACTTAACTAAGACAATATGTCTCTCTGTCTGCGTGTAGTGTGTCATGAGCTAAACACAGGGCAGCCAAGAAAATAAAAATTAGCACTCATTGATTAACTGGATTATCCATAATCATGCCCTGCCACATCCAGGCCTTTATTTTATTTATTTGTTGAATTTAATACCCACCCCACCCATTCCTTCAAGAATCTCAAGGTAGCTTACTATGCACAGGGATCTCTCTTTATTTTATTCCCAGTATGACAGTTACAAATTCTCACATTGAGAACAAGTTAAGCAATAAAAAAGAAACAATTGATGCAGACTGCCCCACCCTTATGAAAACAGCAAACATTCAGCCCCCTCCATCATAAAGGTAGAAGAAAATCAACCAGGGCTTTGCCACCATTAATGGTCTCTGCAGAGGTGCATTTGAAAGCTAAGTCCTTGATGGAATTCTTGTGTTACCACAGTAAGCTTCCTTCTAATAAATATTACTAATCAAAGCTCCATGAGACTTGTTCCTTGGATTAACTATTTCCTGTCCAGGCTCCTTGGAGAGAAGTCTACCAACCACAGTTTGAAGGAGGTATAAGTGTATTGCAATCTAAAAAAATACACACACACCCCCAAAAAAACCCAACACTGGATACAGAGTGGAACCCACAGATCCAAATGACCTGATTGGATAACTGTTCCTAGTTCTGTGATGAAGTGGTTGTAGGCCCAGATTCAAACTTGAGATTTATTGCTTGCAAACAGGTGCTTCAGCACTCTGTATCTTAACACAGTAGCACTGTATGTCAGTGTAATTCACAAAACTCAGATCTCAGAGTACAAGGATAGAAAAGGTTCAGGAGATTTCTAAGATGGATGGAATATTTCTCTGATTCAGCCTATGAAAGCTTAGAAAACATGAGAAGGTAGATGTTGACAATCAGCTAGGACCACCAAAAACAGGTTGAACTGAGCAAGCACAGATAGGCTTCCTCTTAAAAAGCCTTGGTGCCTGTGCCTACAAGTTAATGAGTATAACAGCTATTTTTGGTTTAGAATTAAAATCCTCTAATTGTATGGCAATACTCAGAAGGGGCTTCAATCTATCAAACTCCTGGAATGTTATATGGAATCAAAACGCAGGACTCAAATGCAAAATCATCAAGGCTTCACTGCAGTGTTTATTAGACAGTGCGCATTGGAGGGGACTCCACCAAGGGTTAGTGGGAGACACTCCCCTGCAGGCAAAATGGATGCCC